AAGAATGCGAGTTGGATTAATTTCGAGAAGTAATTACATAATCCAAACGTAATCGTGTATTCGTATTTATATATATATATATATATATATATATATATATATATATATATAATATGTAGAGAAGTGAAGCGTGACAAGATATTTGCTGTAATTCTTCATTTAATTTTTTTTTTCCAACAAGGGACAGTAAAGCGATGGAAGAAGGTGAAAAAAAGTATAAAGGAAAGGTTAGCGAGTCTATCTTTATCTCAATATATTGCGTTGTCGACAAAAGATTCTGGCATTTATATGAATACAATATAATATTATCGTGTTAAGGCGATTTCAATTGGATATTGAAAATTAACAAAATTCTCTCCCTCAAGATATAATGATTTTTTTTTTGTATTTGTATTTTATTTTTTTTCATTTTCATCTAAATTTTTATTTTTATCAAAGTGAAATGTTGTTAAAACAATTTTATAGGTAAATTTTTTTTCTTCAAAATTTCATCATAGAATTGTGAAATTTTTAAGAGGAGCAATAAAGTTATATAGACTACGGTATTTTAGGAAGAGAAAGAAATTTTTTTTTTTTTTTGCTAAGTTTAATTATAAGTAGAAATAAAGCTTGTATTGGTAGGACAAAAATTTACTGCTTCAAAATTAATTGTAAGTAAGTAAAATTGTATTGGTAAGACTACTGTTATTAACTAAATAGAAAAAACAATTTTTAATAAGAAAAAAATTTAATTTTAAGTATAGATAAATCTGTATTGGTGGGACAAAATTTTATTTGTTTTATTAGGTTAAGTTTAGTTGTAAGTAGGTAAAATTGTATTGGTAAGACTACACTCATATCAATTAAGTAGAAAAAACTATTTTTATCAGACAAAATTTACTTTTAAGTATAGATAAAGCTGTATTGGTGGGACAAAAATTTAGTCTTATCGTTTTTAAAACTTACTTGTAAGTATATAGGTAAAACTGTATTGGTAAGACTACTGTTACCAAGGAAATAGAAAAAAAAATTTTTAGCCAAAAAAATTTATTTTTAAGTAGATAAAAATATTGTAGTGATGAGACAAAACGTTATTTTTAGTTTAATCCGATAATTAAGTTTTAAGTTTTAAGCACAATTTAATTTTAAGTAGTTAAAACTGTATTGGTCAGACAAAAATTTACTTACAATTTTATGAAATTAATTTTACTTATCAAAAAATTTAAATTTTCACTATACAAATATTTTTGTCTATTATTAAGATACCAAAAAAGACTATTCATTCGTCAAGTATTTTATCCGAACCTTTCCCCCCCCCCACTTCTCTTGGGACATTCGCAACCTCACCCAGTGATCGTGGCCTTGACACATGACTTGTTCTCGTTGTTCTCTTTTGTGAATCTCGTGGACTTTTCGATTCATGTCCTTGATCTTTTCTCTTGAGAAAAAAAAAATTACAATCACGTCCGTATTGGAAAGACAGGGACAAGAGATTTTCATACAGGTTACTTATTTTTGGCAGAGATCCATTCGTACGTCGAACTCTTGGATTGAAATTGAGAGAGTCAATTCTTGGAAGCGATCTTTTCGTCCAATAAGATCCTTATTGTCTTTTATAACAATTAGATAAATAAACATTAAATAATTATTCTACATTTAAAATCGTTAAAAAAAATTTTAACTACTTTTTATAAAAAATGGATATATAATATTAATATTGTGTAATATTTAATATAAATTTAGAAAATATGTTTCGCATATTTCTTTTAAAATAAATTTCAAATTAATTTAACAATATAAATTATATCATGCACGTGACGTGTTGAACGTGGGAGCGTAATTCTTGGGAGCTTATCGACTACATACGATAACAGAAAGAGAGAGAAAGAGAGAGAGAGAGAGAGATCAGAAAGAAAGAGAGCAAAAACATTACGTAATACATAGTTGACGATGCATTGACTTTTAGTTGAAAATTCTTCATCTTTTTCCCTTACAATAAAAAAAAATAATTCTTTTTTCAATGGATTCAAAAAGATATATATTTGAAAAAGAAAATGATTTTAGCGATTAAAAACGTCATATATATTGTTTTTTTAAAACAAAAAATAAAAAATTTTAAACAATAGAGATGCGAATATTTCTTTATATAAGAATAATATTCAAGAACGATTTGTAGATTTGCAATAATTACTTATATTGCGACCTTTAAAGTCTCAGGAATAGGCTATAATATGAATTTCGTAATGAATTATATTGCTATATCAATTATATTTAAAAATGGAAATATTAGATAACATGGTCTTTGTCTAATTATACCAATAGCTGTTGATTTTTGAAAGATCAATTTCAATTTTCACAATTTTACTGATTATAACGATCATTCTAAAAGTTGCAATAATATTAATTTTACCATTTTTTTTACTCTACTTTATGGAGTAATTTCGTTATGTAATATTTATAAAAATGTATTTAAAAAAAAAAAATTTCGTAACAAAATAAAATAGGAGAAAGAAAGAGAGAGAATCATACAGAAAAGGTAGTATAAATATTATTATGTTCTATTTATAACCATTTTTATTAAAGTGCCACTTATTAAGAAAACCTGTTTGTTAAATTTGCATTACGTCAGAATTCACAACAATTTTTGAGAATAACTAAATTTTAACGCATTAAATATGCACTTATAAATATCAAATAAAATCCAAAAAATAATTTAAAAAAAAAAAACATAATTTAAATAAAACAGTTAAAATTGAATATATTAAAAAAATAATAATATTTAGTTTGAAAATAGGGGAAAAGTAAAAAAAATTTGAATAAAAATTAAAAGATAACGGGAGGAAATTAAAGAAGGTACTTTGCCAAAGTAAACAAATTATATCTACTTTGTCGAACATAGAGACGGAGAACTCTTGGTGTGTATCTAGTTCAGTATTCAGTCTTATGTAATCCACTCTGGTCTTAATCCGGAAAATCTAGTGCCTTTTGCTCGCGCAATACACACACACACACAGTTTCAAGATGCCACGTTAGGAGTTAAAGTCATTTTAAAATCACCATTAATTGGTTTTAAAGAAACAGATGGCTTGATGTCGCAGGTGCAATGCAATTTGATAAACATCAGTTTCCCGTTAAGGTGTTTCAAAGTGAAAAAATATTTTTACATTACTTGTTTTATTTTTTCATTTTCTTTATATATTTTAAATTATTTTCACTGTTAATGTTTTTAAATAGTTTCCCTTTTGAAATATTTTTTAATAAATTTCCTTTTTTCGTTTTCTTCTCGAATTATTTTAATTTACTAAAAAGAAGAAAAAAAAAAAACGCAAAATAATTTTTAATATAGTTGTTGCTTTTTAAAACTTCGAAAACGGAAAAAAAAGAAATTCTGAGATTTAATCGATATAAATGCGGTGTAATTGAAAATTGTATATATAGATGAATTTGCATATATATAGTCATAAGTTTATTACCGTGGGAAATATGTTGAACAGTGAAATATATTGAGAGTTCTTTGTCTTGGAGTGCAAGAGCCGCGTGTATATCTTTTTAAGTTGGGAATAGTCTTTGAGTTTCTTTCTCTCTTTCTCTCTCTCTCTCTCTTTCTCTCGCAGTGGCTGGTTATATAAGAACAGCTCAGGCCTCAGACTGGCCGTGAACTTACCATCGTCCGAACGCAGCTGTGTCCTTTTCTCTTATACATATATATACTTGGACTGGTGCATTCAGCTCGATCGAAAAACAAGAAAAACGCACTCTACTAAGCACGTCCATGAAAGAGAGACAACTTTCTCGTTTCCCGAGAAGAGGAGCTTTTAAGGACATCGAATGTAAATTCCTTCGTATATGATGAAATACAATTTAAAAATGAAAATCCATTAGAATAACTCAAATTGAAAAATTTCAAAAATTCAAGCTTTTTTTTTTGGTACGATTTATTAATAGAGTAATAATTATTACTGTCTGTAATTCAACGTACAACGACCTATCTTTCTGCGCAATTATAAAAAAAAAAAAAAAAAAAAGAAGCGACTTATATAAAGAGATAAAAACAATTTTCTGATTTAAAAGATAACGAGGTGTATAATTTTTTTTTTTTATGAAAGCACTGACAAAAATTCATTTCACGATAATAAAATTCATTATAATACAAATTGATAAACGATGATATATTTAAAAATGTATAAAAAAAAAAATTCTTCTGAAGAATAAAACTTTTAATGAAGCACAAGGTTATTGAGAAAGGTAAGGATTTCAGACCCGATCTTTCGTATACCTGTCAATGTGCGCGAGGTTATAAAATAATCTCAAAAGTCTGGTCGATTAAAAAAAAAAACCAGACTGAAAGGATATAAAAGAAAAAGGAACAAAGTTAAAAAGAATAAATTCGATTTTTCAGAATCATTTAGATTTTTTTAGCAAGATAAAAACTCAATAATTTTAATTTAAAGAATTACAGAAATTTTTTTGAAACAAATTTTAACAATAAGAGAATGATTTATTTGAAAGATAAATGAATTTTTGATAGTACCACACTATACAACATTCTACGATTGGTCCCATTTACATCCGTTACGCAATTCATAAAAGACATGAGCTTTGGTACTACTAACTGCTTCTACTATTTTGCTTATTTAATACTTCCCGCACTTTGTTATTAAACAATAATTTTCTACATAAATAGTTGAAATTAGTTTTGAATTTGAAAAAATAATATATTTTATCAAATCATATTTAAAATTTCCAGTGTCGCCGAATCATAAATCAGTCTAAAATTAATTTTAATATCATCATTGCAAGGAAGATGATTCAGATCGTTATCTGCAAGGATTATTATATAGATTTACGATAATTTTACAAATTTTTCAAGGTTATCAATTTTCTGAAACTGATAACAAGGATTATTTTTGTTTTTAATTTTTCATTATCCTTTCTGATATAATTCGAAAAATGATGATATAAAAGATTTTTTTAAGTATTTTAAAAATTTAATTTTTGAGGGTTTTTTAATTATTGCTCACCAAGGTGGACGGCGAGATTATATCTCTCCAGTGCTTGACCGATGTGACCCTCCTTTAATAGAAGGTCACCCTCGTGTCTTGCTCTGCTTGCTTCTGCCTCCCTTGGCCACCACTTTTCAACAAGCCTTTGCACAAGCACATTTATTTCCCCCACTGCATCAAATTTATGTCCGCACACGCGACAATTCTTGGCTGATTCAAGACAATTTCTACAGAATGTATGACCACAATTAACCGTGACCGGTTGATACAAGGTCCCCTCACAAAATGAACATGAAAAATAATCATTTATCGTTCTTTTTCGTAAACAATTATCACTTAAATCCTCTAATAATGAACCAACAAGATGTCTTAGCCTTTCCATTGGTACATTTTTCAATGTTAAACATTTTGCATAAATATCAATTGAATCACTTATTCTTCCACATCTTGCCAATGAATCACCATAACCAAATAATAATTCAAAATTTGGTGTTTGCTGTTTAAGGCATCGTTCATATATTTCAACAGCCAATCCATAATTTCTCGATGCAAATGCCTCCTTTGCCAATTCAGTCATTTTTTTATTCTAATTTTTATAAATATAGTCCTCCCGATAAAATCCGCTCACTGCTGATTTTAAAATATTAAAACCGCTATACATTTTCAAAATCATAAAAAATAATTTGATTTTCTTTGATAAATTAAATTAAAGAAATTTTCATTATTTATTGAACTTGACATTGAAATTTTCTTTCTTCTGTTGATGATGCATACGAATTTGACAGTTTCGACCACGCGGTACAAACGACTATCGAGAACTGGCGTACATTCACTCTTACAATAACGGTTGCCCGAAGACTGGCGTCTCCCTCCCGTATTGTATAGTCTGTCACCGACTTTGCGCGAAACGTTGTCAGTATAAAGCTGCCCCCCCCCAACACTTGATGACTACAGCGCCACAACCCCCAAAAGCTTTTTTTTTTCCACACCTAACCTAACTACCCTACCCTTAAGAAAAAAAATAATCACAATACAAAATAATCCTTCTTTGTCACTTTTTATTTTATCATTAAATATTATTCATAAATTATCTAATACTTCCTTTTTTTAAAATTATTTCTTATAAAAATTGATGAATTTTGAATAAATTTCAATTTTTTTCAAAATATTGGTATTAAATTTGACGAAAAGAAAATGCAAAAATTATTAAATTGATTTATAATTCCATATGAGGGGGGAAGTGAAAGAAAAAATATACATTAAACGATGGACACTTGTTGTTACTGTTGATGTAATTTGTGAATTCTTTTTTCTAATTTTTTCCACTTCCTATTTTTCCATATGTCCCTTTTGAAATTTCCCTTTTTGTTTCTTAAATTATCACTGAAAAAAAAAATATATTTTGTTTAAATTAAAAAAAAAAAAAAAATTCCAGACACCGTACGCGAAAAAGCTTATATAAATGCAGTCAAGGAACATCGCACTGGCGGGAGCTCGGTGAGTTCCGATTGGATCAATTATTTTACGAGGCAGCCTCGCTCCGGGTTCTCCCGAGTCTTACGCATGAGCAGGAATATTGCGAGATATCGTTTTAGTTCAGAGACACTTTTCTCTTTTAATATCAAAAATTAATATTTTAATATAAATTAATAGAAGCATATAAATATTTTATCAGTTATCAATTTTTTTTTTCTAATTCAAAATCAATTATCTAATTAGAATAATTAAAATTTTATTAATTAACAAAAAAAAAATTTATGTAACAATATAATTAAAGCAAAAAATGAAAATAAAAATTCCACAAAAAAAATAATGCACTTTTTTCTATACTTAGAAAAAAAAAATTAAAAATGTATTTTAAAATGTCTTTGTCTTGACATTGACAGCTTTTTCTACTTAAAAATTAATAAGAGATTTGAAAAATTACTTTTTCTGAAAAATAAATGAGTTATTTTGATTAAAAAGAAATTTTTTTGTCGTCTGACAAAAGAAGGTTTTTTCTACTTATGAAAAAAGTTTGTCTCGAACAAGAGACAATTTTGTTGGAAAAAAAAAAAAATTATTACAGAGCAAAATAACTACTTTGAAATAAAAAATTTTGTTGGAACAAAATATAAAATTTCATTTAGCGCAAATTAAAAATTTTTATTTGAAACATAATTTATTTAGCACTGAGACAAATATATTTTTTTTCTGTTTTTAAGGAAAAAGTAAATTTTCCCTTTAATTGATCATTCAAATACTAAGTATTAAATAAATACTCAAAAATACTAAAGAATACTAAAAAAATACTAAATACTAAATACTAAATAATAAATACTCAATAAATACCAAAAACCAAAACTTCGTTCCAATTAAACTGAGTTTTTCTATATACTTACTCTTTAAATTTGAGTTAGTAAAAATGTTTACTAATTTGAATCAGTGACTCACTTTTTTGCTTCTGAATTAGTAAAATTTTTACTAATTATTTGTAACTTTTACTAACAATTAGTAAAATTTAACTAATTCTAAAACAAAAAGTGAGTCACTAAATGAAATTAGTAAACATTTTTTCTAATTCAGATTTAGAGAGTAAAACTAAGATTTTGTTGGAAAAACAAAATTAAATATGTTTTACTTTTAATTTCCAAATAGAAATTAATTATATATTTTTCTACTTAAAAATTAATAAGAGATTTTAAAAATTACTTTTTCTGAAAAATAAATTTTAACTTAAGGGATTATTTTGATTAAAAAGAAATTTTTTTGTCGTCTGACAAAAGAAGGTTTTTTCTACTTATGAAAAAAGTTTGTCTCGAACAAGAGACAATTTTGTTGGAAAAAAAAAATTTATTACAAAGCAAAATAACTACTTTGAAATAAAAAATTTTGTTGGAACAAAATATAAAATTTCATTTAGCGTAATTAAAAATTTTATTTGAAACATAATTTATTTACAAATATATTTTTTCTCTGTTTGAGGAAAAAGTAAATTTTCCCTTTAATTGATCATTCAAATACTAAGTATTAAATAAATACTCAAAAATAATAAACAATACTAAAAAAATACTAAAAAATACTAAACACTAAATAATAAATACTCAATAAATACTAAAAACCAAAACTTCGTTCCAGTCAACCTAAGTTTTTCTACTCTTTAAATTTGAATTAGTAAAAATGTTTACTAATTTGAATCAGTGACTCACTTTTTTGCTTCTGAATTAGTAAAATTTTTACTAATTATTAACTTTTACTAACAATTAGTAAAATTTAACTAATTCTAAAGCAAAAAGTGAGTCACTAATTGAAATTACTCTCTAAATCTAAATTAGTAAAAAAGATGACTAATTTGAATTAGTGACTTACTTTTTACTTCTCAATTAGTAAAATTCTACTAATTATTAGTAACTTTTACTAACAATTAGTAAAATTTAACTAATTCTAAAACAAAAAGTGAGTCACTAATTTAAATTAGTAAACATTTTTACTAATTCAGATTTAGAGAGTAGTAAAAATTTTTACTAATTCAGATTTAGAGAGTAAAACTAAGATTTTGTTGGAAAAACAAAACTAAATATGTTTTACTTTTAATTTCCATATAGGAAAATAATAATTATATTAGGCTTAAAAACATGAAAAATGCAATAACTCAACAAGGTGTATAATGTGCTAACAAATCCTAGTTTCGTAACTTGTCCTTGAATTGATAATTGTCCGATTAATATTATAATTTAATTGCCCGTTATATGCTTATCGGTTCACGTGATTGTGGATGTCACTTAAATTGCAATAAGAGGTACTAAATGTTTAAGTATATAAATATATGGATAAAAGAAAGTAAGCTATCTGAATGCACTTGACATCAATATGGGAATAATTAAACATTTTTCTGACGATAAATGCATAAAAAAAAAATTTTTTTTTAAATACAAGACAAACGAAATAAATTACACATTCTTATTTACAACTATAAATTGTTAAACTCATATAAAATTACAAGGTACAGTAATTTTTATTTTACCATTTATTAATAATTATGACAAAATTTAAAAATTATGTAAATTTTTACATTTTATATACCTACAGTTTTTTTTTTTTTTTTTTTCATCTGAGAAAAAATGTATTACTTATTAGTGATATTTTAGTCAAGTCAAGAAAATTATACAATTTTGTTTTTTAATTATTGTTTTTTTTAAACTTTTAAAAAATATTTTTTTTTTAAATCACGATTGAATGAGTAAAAAAAAAAATTCCCAGTCAACAACCAAATAATTAATATGATAAGAATTTTTATTTTTGCACAAACAAATTTCTCTTAATGCATCAATATTAATGATAAATCGCTCATCTTCGTTATAATGCAATCATTTGTTTTCAAAAATATTCTCTTGCTTTGTATTCAATTTTAATAAAATATTCAAGTACAAAAAAAAAAGGTTTACAAAAATTAATATAAACAAAATTTTATACAATTTGGATATAAAATTTTTTTTTTTTTTTTCAAAACTGAGACATAATCAAATGTAATGAAATTTTTTTAGAATTTTTATATAAGAAATTTATTATATTAATATATTTTATTATTATATTAATTTAATGTATCATTATAGAATGAAAACTTGATGAAATTTATAGAACTCAACAACATGCGCATTAGAACTTATATAAGATATTTGTGTCACGTAAGGAGTCGCACAACAAATTGTTAATCATCGAAATATATACAGTATCTATATATGCATAACAGAAATGTGTCTTTACATATATATTGGATAATTGTCAAGGCTACTTTTTTTTGGCACTTGCTTTTAGAATAAATATTTGTTGTCGCATCAAAAAGATAATTTTTTAGATCGCCCCAAAAAAAAATTAATAATAATCGCTTATATTCTGTCAATTAACTTTGGTATTAATTTTTCGGTATATGTGGCAAAATTCAAATATATAAATGACAAATACCGTTTTTACAAAGTTTTCTCTGCAATTGATCAAAATAGTTAAAGCCATTATAAATTGATTTAATTAGAGTTGAAGTCTCAATATAAGTATAAAGTTCATATATATATATAATGTTTATATAAATTACACCTAATAAAATGATTGCTCATCAATCCTGTAATTGTTGTTTTCTAACTTTTCACATGTTAAAATAATTTCATTAAAATATTTAAAATTCTCGCCTTGAATCGAAATAATAAATTTAAAAAAAAAAATTAATCATCATTTTACTAAACAACACTTTTCTCAAATGTACAATTTTATTTTATTTTAAATACTTTAAAAAAATTTTCAATTCATATACAAAAATACCTTAAAATATATATATATATATAAACCACGTGATTTAATAGTCACATGTCCTGCTTACAAATAAAAAAAAAATTTTTTAATAAATTAAAAAAAATTCAATATTTGTGTATGACGTCTTGTTAAAATTTTGAATTAAATTTAATTAAGTATAATTGTTAACAGATCATGCAAAATTTAGAATATTGTTCGAATAAATAATACAACGAATAAGGATTTGACATGGAAAATAATCAATAAACGAAATAATAATCTTATCCCTATGAAAAGAAGGAAGGTTTGAAGTTGACAGCAGGAAATTAGATTTAAATACATTTTCTTTTATATATATATAAATTTTACACTAATTTAATAATATATTTTATCCGCAATATTTTGCATTTCATTGTAATTTTATCCGCGCAATATTATATATATATATGCATAATAAAGTAGTTTTGTGTTAAATTAAATTTTTATATTAAATCAAAGAATTCAACAAAAGTTTGAGAGAAAAAATTTCTTTCTAATATTTTAGTAAAAAAAAAATTTTTTTTCTAATAAAAGAATTATAAAACAGCGTGTACTAACGCCTCTTTCTAAAATCAAGGCGACGCTTCTTTATGTAATTTCGGAACTACCTTGCTTCACACACAACACGTTTTCATTCCCACTTTCACGT